TTGGCCCTGCATTGGTGCAGCCCTGGAGGCTGACCCACCCCACTGGCCTTGTCCTGGGATCTAGAGCTCTACTTTGTTCTCCCTGACCCTAGGGTGAAGGAGGATGAATGACAAAGAGCCTTGGAGTCGGCTTAACTTGGGAGCGGACAGGGGATTCCTACCTCTTCACAGGCAGAGGACCACCACCCTGCCATCTGCCTCGTCTTGCCTTATTCACCCAAACACAGGCCCAAGCAATCAAAGTAACACAAGACTCATCTGTTTTCCAATAACCATTAGTACATACTCCAGTGAATAAGTTAGTCTCAGGCGTCCTAACTTTTCCCTAAACTCTGCAATATGCAATCACCCCTGAGTGCAGCCTTCTCCTTTGTGCTCACAGAGGAGGCCAATTGGGCCTTAATTCTCCTCTGGTCTTCCACAGCCAGTGATCTTGTCTTTAAAATATGATAGTCCTTTCAGTATAATGTCTTAAAGATATTACCTTTAATATCTGTTGGGAAGGAAATGTCCAGACTTTTCAACTGTCCTTACTATGATTTCTTTTTTGTTTAGAAAAGGAATAAAGTTCATAGTTATGTGTGTAGTGGGGATCTACAACATGAAGTGTATATTTTCAAACAATTGTTCAATGATTTAACAATTTTCATAAATCAATTTCACGGTTCTGCACCTATAGATTCTCATTGTGAATCCCTTGCTTGCTCGTCCTTAAGTGTATCTTCTTCTTTCTCCTCTGTCATCTCACTTGTGGTTCAAGCTAGTCTTGAACTCACAATGTAGCAAAGGTTGGTTTTGAACTCACAGTGATCCTTCTGCCTCAGGTTCCTGGGTGCTGGGATTACAGGCATGCATCAGCATTCCCAGCTCCACATGTGTAGTTTTGGTTGAGATATTAAATGGACAAGTACTGTGGATGTGAATGTGGGAAGTAACTTTAATCATATGTAATTGGTCACAAGGCCTAATTTGCAGTAACTATTGATGTTTTACTTAACAATGCCTTGTTACTTTGTATGCATTAACATTATGATGCACAGATTGTGTGTCTACAGTATTTAAATTGACCAACCTAATGTTACAACTACTTTGAGGTAGCCAAATGTAAACCAAAAGCCTTAATTAAAGAGGTGCAGTTTTGTATAACTCATCGGGGTGGTTCAATACATTTGGATTGCCATCAAGGGCTCACATTATAAAAACAAACAAACACCCAGAAACAATCTGCTGGAGGATAAAATAAGTATAACTCTTGAAGACATAGGCAAGGACTCTCTTAACGAACCTCAAAAGCACAAGAAATAATACTGAGACTCCACAAATGGAATCATATCAAATTTAAAGCTTCTGCACAGCAAAGGAAACAACCAACAGAGTGAAAAAGACAACCTACAGAAAAGGAAGATTATTTTTGCCAGCTATTCCTTAAACAGAGAACTAACATGTAGAATAAAGAAAGAACTCAAAAAAATTAGACTCCCCCAATAAAAGACCCAATCAAAAATGGGTAACCAAAATGAAAAGACATTTCTGAGAAGTACAAATGGCCACTAAATATAAATATAGTACATGAAAAAAATGTTCAACATCTTTGGCCATTAGAGAAACACAAATTAAAACAACTTCTAGATAACATCTTATTCCTGAAAGAATAACTATCATCAAAAAGTCTAATAATAAATGCTGGCGAGGATGTGGGGGAAAAGCAACTCTTCTACATTGTTGTGGGAATGTAAACTATTACAACCACTCTGGAAATTAGTATGGAGATACCTAAAAAACCTAGAAATAGAAATTCTATTTGACCCAGCTGTTCCCCTTCTAGTTTTCTTCCCAAAGGAAATAAAAGTATCATATTAAAGGGCTACATGCATGCCTGTTCATGACAGCATAACTAAATAGCTAGATCTTGGAAACAGCATATAAGTCCATCAATAGATGAATAGATGTGGAACAGGAAGTGTGGTATTCATACACAATGGAGTACCGCCTTGCCATAAAGAAAGATTAGTTTGAGGGATGTGCAGGTAAATGGCTGCAACCTGAGAATATAATATTCAGTGAAATAAGTCAGAAACACAAGCTTAAATATTGCATGGTTTCTCTTACATAAGAAACTCAAAGATGGGGCCAGGGATTTAGCTCAGTGGTTCGGTGGCCTGCCTTGCAAGCTCAAGGACCTGAGTTCAATCCCCGGTACCAAGGGAAAAAAAAAACAAAAACAAAAAAAAGAAACTCAAAGAATATCTATCTATCTATCTATACATGCAAATGAGGAGTAAAATGGAAGCTATAAATAGGAAGTGGGGCGGTTCAAATGGTTCCCCAAATTACCTATTCCGCTGCTTAAATAATACTGTAATATATATGCTATTTTGTTTCATTTATATTCCTAGTGTCTCTTAGTTCATTGAAATAAAAGTTTTGTGCTAATATCAGGTTTGTTTCTCCTTTGTAAGAGAGAATTTTTTTTGTCAATGTCTGGTACTCTGAATACTTCGAAGATAACAATATACAGCGTATTAACCATTGTTATTTTATTAGGAAATTTTGTTTTACATTATTTTTAAAAAGGAAAAAAATGAAAAAGAAATGAAGTCCACAGCTGTGGCAGCTATTCTGTAACCATCAAGCCTGAAGATGAAAGTCAACATACTTATAATTGTAGTGAGAAAGGACTGAACGAATTTGAGTCATTGATAAAAACTGGCAAAATGCTCAGCCTATCTTGAGACCATGTAGCTTCATCCTTATTGTAAAACTGAAAATAAATATCCTTATGGATTAAGGCTCTTATACCTAGGGCTGTAGTTATTTGCGTTGAACACATATAATCGATATGCAGAGGTATGACCTGAACTGTATGAAGAGATTTTCAGGAACAGGAATGGAACATACACAAGGATCGCGACTCCAGGAATCCTGACGGAACATCATAGTGGCCTGGCCTAAGAAGGATGCCGTGAAGCTGGGGTGAAGCAGATTCAAGATGTATTTGGAGGTGAAAATAATAGGACGTGGTGTCAGTTTAGATATGAGAGGTGAAGGAGGTAGGAATAAGGCCGACCTTTAGGTTCTGTACCTGACAGTGGTGCCACATACTGACTTGGAAAACAGGAAGGAGAAGCTTGTGGAAGGGAGGGACTCAAGAATTCTTTTGGATGTGTTGAATTTTAAATGTTCTTGAGCCATTCAAATAGAGATACAAAATCAGCAGGTAGACATGAGTCAGAAACAACAGAGTAAGTTCAGGGCTTGGGTTTCAATTGGGGAATTGTCAATATACAGATCTATTTAAAGCCACAGGAACAGAGAAGAGTCCACTTAACAAATAGGAATTCTAAAATTAGAGGTCAGCTAGAAGGCTAAGAGACTAAGGAAAACCATTAAGAGGTAAGAGGAAAACCATTACTACTACCAACACCAACAGCTTTGCATTTATATTGAATTTAGTATTATGTAGAACTATCTTACTTTATGCCAGGCACTGCTGCAAGTGCTTTGAGGCTTCAAAGAAGCCAAAGGGGGGAAAAAATTGGATTTTTTTTTTAAAGTACTGGGGTTTGAACCCAAGGCATTTGTACTGACCTATGCTATATCCCCAGCCATTTCCTTTATTTTTAAACAGGGTCTAAATCCCGAAGTTACCCAGTCTGGGCTCAAATTTGCCATTCTCTTGCCTCAGCCTGCAAGAATGCTGGGATTACTTGTGTGTGCCAACACGTCAGGCTTTTTTACCCTTCGTTTTCTCCTTTGACTTTCACTCCTAAAGTGCAGTGCTTCTCAACTTTTATATAATTATTAAGGTATGTATTTTTGGAACAACAAAGGAAAGCTAATTGTGGAAAATAAAGATTCTGTTTTCACACGTTAAGATCTCTCTCTCTCTCTCCATATATACATACAAATATCTAACCCTGCAACTTACTTTTTTTTTTTTTTTTTGTATCGGGCATAGAACTCCGTCTTTGCGCTTTCGAGGTAGGCGGCAGAACCACTGAGCAAAATTGCCGGCCCTGCAACTTACTTTTTAAAATTCATTTTGTAGTTATTTCTGTACATGGACATTTAGATCTTTTCTAAAGCCTAATATCCCACTGTATTAACAAGCCATAATATATTTAAGTTCCTCTACTATATATAGATATATAGATATATTGCTTTTTCTTATCACAGTAAACATTTTTGTAGACAAATCTTTGGATACTGGTGAGAAATAACTGACAGGTAATATCCTCGTGTTAAATATGCTGAATTGATGCTCATAAGCTTCCCAAAAGGTTATACGCATGACATTCTCTCCGATTACATTTCCTCACATCTTGGTTAACACTTGCTATTAATCAACTCCAAAATTTAACTGACTGAAAAAGTGGTTTCATTGTTCTTAACTGGATCGCTAATTAGGAGTAGGGCAGCAAGGCCTGAAACCTGTTACCTCGGGCCAGTTGGGTCTCTTTCCTCTCCGAAAAAGAAACAATGACACACAAACCTTTTGGATTAGAGAAGATAATGGAGGACTACAGGGAACCCTCCTAATTCCTTCGATTTTGGAGGCACTCCTAACATTTTGGACACTTGTTCGCTTTGTTGTTCGTAATTGGACATAATGGAAAACTGGCTCTGCTTTTTAAAACTTTTACCCCCCCAATCTCGCCCTAGACCACAGTGTTGGTTTACCCATCAATTGTACAGGAATGAATTGTAGTTTTAAACCTGCAAAGTGGACGTGGTGGGCGCCTCCCGGCAGTCAGGACCCACTGTTTACGAAGCAGAGAACAGGAGCTAACAAATATCTAACCCTACCTATCAAACATTTCAACAACCCCAATAAAGCTAAAGCGTTCGGCGCTCAAAGAATTAAAAGACCGGAGTTACAAACCCAAAGAGTTCTGAACTCGGAACGCTAAACACAAGACCCAGGGCTAAATTCCCAAGGCAACGCCCCAACCGGAAGTGACGCACAAAAGCGAGTATTTCTTCTTCCGGCGTCTGCCGGCGGTGCGATCCAGGCCTGCGCGAGGTGTGCGTCGGCGTCGCTGCCAGCAGAGGGATTCTGGGTAACGGCCCCTGCCGGCTGAACCTCCTGGATTCGTGCAGCGGATTCTGTTCACTACAGTAGGTCCTTCGGCAGTGGCGTTCGTAGGGCTAGGGCCAGCTGGACATGGAGCAGCCGTGGCCGCCGCCGGGACCTTGGGGCCTCCCTCGAGCAGGGGGTGAGGCTGAGGAAGAGAGTGACTTGGACGTGTCCCCCGGTTCTCCCCGCTGCCCGCCGCTGCCGGGCGGTGACGCGCAGGTGAGACGGGGCTCGCGTTCTGCGGAGAATGGGGCGATGCTGCCGCCAAGCCCCCGGTGGGCCGCGCCTCCCGGACCCGCTTCTCTGCCCGGTTCTGCGCCCACCTCAAGTCCTTGGACCCGGGGCCTGATGCCATCCCACCCCTGTTGTAGCATGTTCAGGGAGAAGAGGAGCTGTCTTGTAGTTATTCCTAGGCTCCCCACACATTTTTTTTTCTTTCTTTCATCTTGGGTACTTCTTCCTCATCTTTGGAAGACGTTGCTCCAACGCCTTTCCTGACAGCGCTCTGATTCGGGGTGGCTCACGCTGTATAATATTGACCCTTTGTCCTCTTTTGCGTTTCACTTGTACACGGTTGATAGGAGCTGGGCGCGATTCCTTAATGTTACATTGAGTCCTGCTCTTTCATCCACGTTGCCTTCTGAGCAAAGTCTGTAAACCTAGCTTTGCTGGCGTTTATCTCCCATTTGCCTCACCGTCTTTCCTTTTTTTACTGATTTGTTTTTAGTTTTACTTTGTGTCATTGTCTAATAAAAACATATAGGCACAGATTTTGAGTTATTTTCAGACTTTCCCCTCGGGTTCCTGATGTTACCTGAGGTTTTATCTTTCCTGCCTCTGAAACTTACCCAAATGTGATTTATCACTTAGGATTTTTCTCCTAGAGGGTGCTTACGTAGTTACATTGCCTTATCTTGATTTTTTTCCCCTAACCTGAATGTGTTTTGGATTATATTTCAGGATCAGAGACTAGATGTCTGCCTGCAAGGCTTTTGTGTAAAATGGGGTCTAATAAAAATGTAACAATTATTATAAATTTTTTTTCAAAATTCATTTTGCTAGATCATATGAAGGTGAGTGGTTTAAATTGGTTGTCAATTTATGTCCAACTAGTGGAGTTAGTTGGCTTTACACAGAAAAAAAATACTATTTCATAACCAGATTGTATCTTAGCCAGCTGGTCACTGGGGAAAGTGAGGCAGAATCAGAGTTGATGGGTCAGTAGTCACCCACTAATTGTGGATTGCTAGTGTCATCTTTATATAAAAAAAAAAAAACCACAAACACGCACTGCTTTACAGAGAAAGAATGAACAGCAGTTGCTGTTGTCAATTTTGAAGGCATGTGGAGGAAAAGAAAAGGTCTCAAGAATTTCAGTGCACTGAGGTTGAATTACAAAAGGAAGCTTAGAGAAACTCAGAATTTTCAATGTCATATTAATTTTTTACTTGTGTACTCATAAATTTGTTTTGGTAAAAGGGATTTTAAAAATGAATAAGTATCTCCACAATTAAAAGTGATTTTCTTGAGCATTTTAAGTGACATGATCAAAACGAGAACTTACAGCATCTAGACCAGTGTTTCTTTTCCCACCTACTGCATTGTCCATCCTGTGAAAGACTATAAAACTTTATTTGGCTAAACTACCCTTAAATGGTATTAAAATTTGAATTCTAAGTTCATGAGTTTATTGCACACTTATTTGTCTTGCTGGCTTTGGGATTTAAAATTTTGGATTGAAATCATAGGAAAGAATAAAATATTTAATCCAATGAATAGACATTGAAAACTTCTTAAATTTTTTATTTTATAGTTTGCAGTACCTGGGGATTGAACCTAGGCCCCTCACCCTGAGCTACATCTCCAGCCTTTTTCAAAAAATATTTTATTTTGAAACAGGCCTTGTTAATATTGCCCAGGCTAGGCTGGAACTTGCAGTCCTCCTGCCTCAGCCTCTGAAGAGTGCTGGGATTATAGGCTTGTGCTTCCATCCTCATCTAAAAATCTATTTTCTTTTTCTTTTTAAGCTTTGCTGTAATTTTTATAAAGTGTGAGAGAATCTAGGCATTTTAATGTAGTAAGTGATTATTGGTTCTGAGATCCAACTAATGTCAAGACAGGTTGGAATATAGATCCATTTTGAGATTCTGATGTAAGATTTCACTTGTAGACTTTAATGCTATCAGTTCCTTTTCACAATTTGTCATTAAAATATAATTATGCTCCTCTAAAACTATGGTATGTTCATGAATTAAAATAAGACCTAATATTTTTTTCAATCAACCAAATACACATTGGATAGTTTTTCCAAATAGTGCCTGGGTAGTCTGAGGAAAAGAATTTAAATATAAATCATTTTTGGGAATTGTTTTGATTTGAGAAATAAATATTTGTTCCCACATAATTTGAAAATATAAGATTTTCCATTTGTCCATATTGCCTTTTTGGGTATAGCTTTGTCTTTTCTTAATAAATTAAGTTATAACTTCATTTTTCTATTTTTCCTGGCCCCATATTTAAACATAATCAGTTTACAGTTACTCTTCATCCTATTCTAAGATATCAGAAAGTAAAATTAAATGTTTTACTTGGTTTTTTTAGGGATATACAGATACCTAGGCTCTGAACCTGCTGATTGAATAAAGTACAGAATAACAGTGGTGCCCCAATAGAAATCTTGAATTCACTTGAAAATGTGCCAAGACATAGGGGCTTTACTTGCTACTTGCCTTAGAATTTTTTACCACTGCCATTCTGTTCAGAAAATAGAGATTTACTCATGGAATATTTATTGAATTTTAGCCCCTCAAGAATTTGGTAGTTAGCTGGGCATAATAGTGAATGCCTATAATTCCAGCACTCTGGGAGGCTGAGGTAGTAGTTCAAGCCCAGTCTGGGCAATTTAGCAATTTAAGGAGATCCCATTTCAAAAAATAGAAAAGGCTGGGAATATAGGTCAATGCACAGGCTCTGGGTTCAATCTTCAGTACTGCCAAAAAACAGAAACAAACAAACAACAGCTGATAGTTTAAAAAAAAAAAAACAAGTACCATAATATACTGTATTATGTGAAAACCACCACTGTAGAAATATGCATTACTTGGCTGGGGAGAAAATGGATAAGAAAAAGCTTAAGGAATGCCAGAATCTGGAATAGGGATAGGAGTTTCCTAAAAGAAACACTGCCAGACTGAAATGTAGTGAAGAAAAAAAGCCTGGGACAAGGCAGATTATTTAGATAATTCAGACAGTTATAAGGGTTTGAATAGTGATTCAGATATGAGAACAGGTTGGGGAGAGAATTATTCAGGAAAGTAGTCTGAAGTTGGTCTACATTTGGGCAAGAAATCATAAGGAATGTACCTTTAGCTTTTGTTTTATAGCACCAGCGAATGTAATTAAACATCTCATAGTGCTTTAGGTATAGTAACTAATATAGTAGTGAATTACAACCCCTAAGTGGAACAGAAACAATCACTGAAGTAGAACCAGTTGGCATTTTTTAAATCTAAATAACTTTGCCTGAAGTTTTTAGTAAACGCTTCTCAAATCACCAATGTTTGGGATAATGCAGAAAGAAGACAGAAACCAAAATAAAAGCAGGTTCGGGGCGGGGGGGTTTAGCTCAGTGGTCCCCAATTGCAAGTGCAAGGTCCCCAATTCGATCTCCAGGACCAGTAAATAAATAAATAAATAAAAGGAGGTTCTTTGCAGTGTGAATAACTTGTACAACAAAACTGTAAAGGTCTGATTTTCAGCATGTGGAGTATGGAGGTGATAAACTAGATTTATGGTTTATTATCATCCTGTTTAAGTTTATGAAGACAATAAATCACTTTTGTTGTATACCAACTAAATGTAGATCACTATGATACTTGCCAGGCTTTGTATTGTTGTTAGTTGTTGGGGGAAGGCTGTAGATTAACAAAGAAGCTTTAGAGTCTTGTTGATTAAATAAAGAAGGTTTATAATATAAAAATGTAACCATAGATGCAAGAGAACACAGGATATACTATGTACCAAAAATGTACAGAAATTCTTTGAAATAAAAAAAAAAAAAAAAAGCTTCTGGGAGGCTGAGGCTGGTGAATCACAAGTCCAGTCCTGGCCTGGGCAATTTTGCAAGACCCTCATTATAAAAAATAAAAGAAGGGCCAGGATGTAGTTTAGTTCAGAGGCCCTGGATTAGTCCCCAGTACTGAGAAAAAAAAAATGACCTGTGCTACAAAAACATTTGTTGCCTTCTTCATTTCTTAATGAGTATTATTTTTTTATCCAGATGTATAGCCATGAAATCGAGCTGGCTTGCCAAAAGCAGACGGAGTTTGTGAAGAGCTCTGTGGCATGCACATGGAATCTTGCTGAAGCTCAGCAGAAACTTGGTAGTTTAGCTCTGCATAACTCTGAGTCCTTGGATCAGGAATATGCCAAAGCACAAACAGCGGTATCTGAACTGAGGCAACGGGAGGAAGAATGGCGACAGAAAGAAGAAGCTCTAGTACAAAGAGAGAGGATGTGTCTGTGGAACATGGACGCCATTAGCAAGGATGTTTTTAATAAGGTATGATCTTTTTATTGGGCCATGTAGAAGAAAAGCTACGTATCTGTACATACTTGTACAAAGCAAAGCAGCAGAATCCTGTAAAATATACTCAGTTTTAACAGTTTAAAAAAAAAGTACTTGTTACAGAAAACTGAACCCACAGTAGTCTAACTTGGGTAGCACTTAGTAGAGGTGCATGGCTGCAACATAGAATGTGGTGCACTGCAGTGTGGACTTGAGTCAGATTGCCTCAGATCTCAGCCCTCTCACGTGATGGCTTTGTGTCCTGGTCAAGTCACTTACTATCTCTAAGCTTACCATATGGAATTAGTAAACTTAGGTAGTAATCTAGACTTAATGTTACAAGCATCAGTACTGAAAGGACTCTAGAAATAATTTAGACTCTTCTTAAATATACACTACTTTTTGTTAAAGAACAGTATTTTGTTTCACTAGAACATACAGATTTTATTGTTTTACTTTCATATCTGAAGAAGAAATGGGTTTCAAATGTTAAGTCAGTGTTTATTGCTGAAAGGGTACAGAAGAACTACCCTTCACACCTTGTGGTCATAGAAATTTAAGTAAGTTGTAAAAACAATTTGGTGCATTGCAAGCAGCATTTTTATTTTTCAAATACAAAACAGTAGAAAAGGTTGGAGTATATAGTCCCCTTAACAGAGGTCAACCTTGTATTATAAAACATTTGTTTTGGATATATGTATGCATGTTAGGCCACAATATACAATGTAATTCTGCATCTATAACCAAAAAGTTTGAAAGTTCTTACTCTAAAGCTGCAGACTGGAGGCAGTTGTTTTGCGTGCTACAGTTTGAACTAGGGCCTTGTGTGTGTTAGACAAGCCCTCTGCCCCTGAGCTACACCTGTAGCCCCCACAGGTAGTTTTAATTTAACCAGTCTCTGTTTTATATGCATGTACTGCTGAACAAACATATATAAAAAAGCATTCAGAAAATACTTCCAAAAGATCTTTTCCCCCATCTCATATTTTGTATCCCATACTTGGGCATTCACTGTTTTAGAGTTTCTTTTATTCAACCACTTTATTTTATAAATGAAGAAACTGAAAAATAGAGTAACTTGATAAGAGTGATAGATTAAATCTGATTCCTTTATCGTATTTAGAATCAAAATATCCCTTAAAATATTTACACTAACAGTAAAAAGGATAGCAAAACACAAGATCATGTATAAGCTTAAGTATTCAAATTTCTGAACCACCAAAAAATTAAAAGGATAATAATGGCTTACCACAAACCTGTCATATATGGTAATAAATGTCTTCGGTAGATGCAGATTAAAGTAATAAAAATACTCCTTGGACTTCTTATTCTTGGTCAGAAACTGCTCAACTAATTGATTAGTGTAATGTAGTTATGAAGTTGCTTAGCTTTTTGTTGCTTCTCTACAGTTTCTTTGAAAACAGTGCAATTTCAAACAAATTTACAGAGCACACATTACTTAAATTAGGCATTATATAAAACACATTCATTAGAAGTGGTAAATATATTCCATAGTTAACCATATTTATCAATTAAGGAATAAAGACTAAAATTTCTAAGCCTTTATTGGGTATTAGTAAAACAAATCTTTGAATATACTGCAATGCAAAACTTTAAAAAATATTAAATTCCCATAACTGGATTTAGTACGAAGAAGGGATGATGAGCACAGGCACAGAGCACTGCTCCAACAGACAAAATCAACTATCCTGCAATCCACCAACAGTAAGAATTTAAAAGATGGGACAATCAAGGACAAAGAATGAGAAAAAAGTAAACAGAGAGGTGGGAAAAGACAGGAGTAGGTATCACAAAGATAGGGACCATATTGACAGATATAAAAGCAACACATAAAATTTGCAGGCTGCTTCAAGATAACATTTAAGCGGGGATTTAGCTCAGTGGTGCCACTGCCTGCCGCACAAGGGCTTGCAGGACCCCAATTTGATCCCCGGTACCAAAAAAAGAAAGATGACACTTAAATAATTGTTAAATGCTGTACCTATATAAAATCTGAATTAAGAGATTCCTGCTGAGATTGAAAGACTAGGTAAGGTGAAAAAAGGTATGAATGTTTTCTAGTAAGATGCCTTTAAGAATGAAAATGATGTCCACATAATGATGTCTGTAGTTAATAATAATAGATGTTAATAAGGGACATCATTGGCCTGGTTGAGGTTTTATTTTTTGGTACTGGGGACTGAACTCGGGTCCTTGCGCTTGCAAGGCAGGCCACCGTACCGCTGAGCTAAATCCCCAGCCCCTGGTTGAAGTTTTAAAATCACGCATTTCTCAAACTACTCAAGGTTTATACCTTTGTTTTCCATTTGAAAACAGTTTCTGGAGATTGATTTTGAAACAGTGAAAGAGAGGAAAGCAAGACCTAATAAATTTATGAGCTAGTGTTTTTAGTATGAATAAAATGATTACATGTATATTGAATAGTAATTACATTAATCCTTATTTTAGAGAAACATTAATAACTGAGTCTATAACACAGTAATGGGTACACATACTCCACTTTGCCAAAATGTCTGGGAAACAGCTCTTGAAGCTGAAAGCTCTTAGCTTTACAACAGGAATGGATTTTGTATATATCTACTGTTGCTATTGCCTGAGCAGGGATGATTTTACTGTATTTATACAGAGAAAGAAAGATCTTCAGATGTTATTTCCCTTAATTAACCATGGACATATCATGTAGAGTGAATTTGGACCTCTTTTAGCCTTTTTAATATACAAAGTTTCAGTATCCATCAAGTAAATGGATGAGCGAGCACCATGTTGCACATGCTGTCATCATTCTGCCATCTCATTCAGCTATACTTTTCCCATCTTTGCTTGATTGATTTTTAAATTTTTAGCTAATATTTTGAGATGTACAAATGTTACATATAAAAATCCAACAGATACACTTGTTTAATACTCAAGGTAATATAATTTGAGATTAAAGAACAAAGTATTTAAGTCTTCAGTTTGCAGCCTCTTGGGACAATGAAATCCAGTCATTTCCTACTAATTTATAAAAGCATACTTCTTTATATTATACCAAACATAACTCTCAGGCTTTGGAGATAAACTGCTCATTCTTGTCTCACTCCACAATCCCTGTATTGTTAAGTGCTATTGTCTAGACTTTTCATTCTATCACCTACTTGTTTTTGTCCTTCTGGCATCAGCTCTCACAGCATGAGCACTCTGAGTTGCCTTCTTGTGGACCAGCTTTAGCTCTGCTGCAAGAGTCAGTAACAAACACATAAGGTACATGTGTATCACCACTGGCCCTATCAGTACCTTCTTTTTTGAGAAAAAATTTAATAGTATAACATGCTTGTTTTAAAATAAATAAGTAATATAGAAATTGAAAGGCTCTCCTTAGCTTTAGTTCCATAGGTAGAAGTAACTTTTGTTAACAGTATCTTTCCAGACTTCCTTTGTACCTGTACTAATCCATATAAATTTTTCTCCCTACGATAGGATCATTTCTTATCTGTTTATATATGTTGTTCTAAGTGACTTCATAAGTGTTCCTTTTCATAAGTGTTACTTTATTTGTATTTTGCATTCATACCCCAAGATTATTTAAAGTAATTTCTTCCAAGAGGAAACCAGCAAAGCAATGTTTATTTTGTAAAGTTAATGTCTGTTACACAGTGATCACAAAGAAAATGTTTTCATTTTACCAGCTTTTGTTTCTTTAGTTTCTAACATAGCCTACAAATTAATTAAGACTATTTTTATATTCCAATCATTTTCTCAGAATTTTATGTTGGTTTTGTGCAAAGACTGGTCTAGATCTCTGAGGTCCAACTTCATAGCCACTACCTATATGTGCTGTAATACAGTGTGTCTAGTCCAAATTGACGTGCTATAAATACAAAATATATACCAGATTTCAATGATTCAGTACCCCCAAATTAAAATATTTTACTTTTTTTTTGCGTGCTGCTTACATGTTGATAATATGTTGGGTATGTTAAGTTTAATATAGATTATTAACTTCATCTGTTTCTTCAAGTTTTGTAATGTGGCTAATAGAAAACTTCTGTTTGTGATTTTGGCTGATGTTTCTGTTATCCAGTGCTGGTCTAGATGGCAGAATATATGTAAAGGAAAAATGCTCTCTGGCAGAAAGCTATTTTGTACTTTTTCATTTTGGCATTGATAATACAAGTTGATCACAGAATGTTCTAAGGCGTTGTTCTGCCAGTTTTGTTGGCAAGATAAAAACTTCATTCTTGGTCTGTTTCTATGACTTGTTTAACTGAAAGTAAGTACTTCTTTAATAGAAATTTGTACTTAAGTTCAAGAATCGAACTGTTTAGCCTCTCTTAAGAAAAAATAATTAGAAATTCAACCAAGGTCTAATTTTGGTTTTTCTCTTCTGAAAGAATTTATAGTGGTATATTTTACTCTTTATATACTTTGAATTTCTGAGTTTATTTCCAACAGATCTAAAAATTACACTAGAGTTGCAAATATTTATAGAAAATGAATAATGCAGGTGTAAATTAAGCATGTAAAGGAACTTTCTATATACTAAGGCAGTTTGGCTTAACCAAAAGATTGTTTTTCATTTATGATTTCTAACATAAATTTATAATTTTCTACATACATATCCATGTTAACAAAGCTAATGAAACTCTCAAATGAAAAAAAAAATTTTTTTTAAATGAAGAGTTTAACAGCGATGTAATATGATAATATTATACCACATTTATATTGTCTCTATGCAGGGCAGATAGGCATTCTTCAGTATCTCAGAAGATTCAATTAGAATTTAAAATCTTATTTTAATTTCTAAAATTTCCAGAGTTTTATTAATCAAGATAAAGGAAAAGAAACAGAAGATGAAGATAAATCAAAATCATTCATGCAGAAATATGAGCAAAAAATCAGACATTTTGGTGAGTCTACTACTTGAATTTCCTTCTTCATAATGTTTGGTATCATTTGTATTGGTACAAAAAACAGAGTCATAAATTGGAAGCCCAAAAGAAGGTAAATGACAAACTCCAGGTGTGTAGCTATTACTGGCAGAGTTGTATAGATCTTGTATTAGACCGATTTTGGGCAATAAAAAAAATAGATTAAAAGAGAAGCAAAATTTAATCTATTAATACTAGCCCTTTAAGATAGTCTTTCCATTTTTCTACTCCTCTTTGCTTTTGTTCTTTTTCTTCTTTGCTTCCTCGATACTGCTTATTTTGTGATTAAAAGATTAGCTGCTTTTATTTTTATTAAGCTTTTGGATATGATGCATGTACTATGAGCAAGACCTTGAACGGTATTACTCTGTAAATACAGTAATAGAAGTATATATGAAAAGAACTGAGAAATTATTGTCTCTTGGGGAAGGAGTGGGATGAGATTAATATAACCAAAGGCCTCTCAGACAAAGTAACATCTCAGTTCTCTGAGGAAAAGGTAGGAATTTTCCATGTGATGAGGCAGTGGCATCAGGATGAAGGCATGTAGAGTTGAGGAAAAGTATGGTGTGTTCTGAGAATTATAAGCAGTCTGATACTGCCCAAGTGAAAATGCTACTGTGAAATGCTGGGAGTTCAGGTTCGAATCATATTTTTTGGATCCCAAGTAATGTGTTAACTTGGTAAACAGGATTTTTATTTGTACTCTGTTCGTGGACATTTTAAATAGCATTTTGAAATCTTTTTTTGTTGGCTTTTTCCTCCCAAACATAATTTCATTTATTTTTAATTATGTAAAGGCAATGGATATGGATATTTCTTTCAGTTTTTTCCCTTTTGTGCAACTTTTCATAACATTCATATTTTCATACTTATTTTAAAAAAGAAAAACTATTTAATTCCAGAATAGTATCTGAAGAAATAAACCTAGACAAATTTTACATTTCTACATAATACTATTGTGGTGTTCTTTATAATCAGAAAAAAAGAGTAAATAGTTCTCATTTGGACAGATATTAAAATTTTTAAACAAGCAGAGCTTTGAGTCAAAGATATAATGCAGTAATTTTGCAGATGAGTTTCTTGTATTATGTGAGTTGCCTTTCCCGCATATAATCCTTTATCCTAGGTTCATGTGTTCTGCTGTAGGAAAATATATGTATATCTGGTTCTTCTTTCAGAGCACATGATGCATCTGGTTAGAACAGCATCCCTCAGAGTGTTTTTACCCAACTGGCACTCTCCACGCGAGGTGGTTTGGAGCCATAGAACTTAGTAGATAAGAAACTCCCTCACTTTTGTTGTAAACTGAGTTCTTTGGTCAAAAGCAGTTTTGTGTGGGGAAGTATTCTAACCTCATAAGAAGTTGGAGTGCTCCTGCACTTTAATAAAGCCTTCACCACTCTGTAAAACCTGCTACTTCTGAGTAATGATTTTCATAAGACCAGTGAAGAAGCCCATAGTCTTCATTTCTTTTGTTGAAAAATCAGTTAAAAACTAATGAGGTTTGGTGAGTAATTTCATTAAGACCACAAGGGAAGAGGGCAATTCCAAATACAGAATGGGTTTGTTCAAGTAAGGAATTATTGATTCCGCCAAGATGAAATGGGACCAAGATATTCAACCTGGTTCTCAGTGGCTGGATAGCTTCTCCAGTATATGGTGCCATACTGAGGTTTTGGCATTGGTTTCTGCTACTGGCAAGTTAGATATTCATTGGCCTTCTTTGATTGCAATACTAAAACATTTTTCATGAGAATAGTTCATTCTGTTGAATCTGTGCTTAATCTCAACCCTGTGCTACCATGACGCTTTAGTTTATGAAACTATTGTGAATTTAATGGTATAGCTGAGGGAACATCCACAGGTGATTAATAAGCAATTGTTTTGCCCTTGCATATTGTGATCTTCCAGTACTTCATCTTGTAATACTAACCAGAGCCTTGCTGTCTTCAAACCCAACCAGACTTGATAGCCACTCCCAGATTCACATTGTGCCTGTTTCTTAGTGGAAATGCACATTGACTTTTCACTTTGGAGGAGATATGCTACTTGCTGCAGCACATTGGATCCACAGAAATGTTACTAAGGTAGTAGGCTCCCAAAATTTTCATGTATTTTATTTTCAATTCTCTGGCATGCTTATCTTAAGGCATCTGGGGTACTTGCCACTTTTTGTTCACCATATTCCATTAGAGTGGATCAACTTACAGTCATGTGGGATGATGAGATCATCAAAATCTCCCATTGACTAAATTATGGCACAGAGTGGATAGAGGCCTGAGGCAAGTCAGTGAAAGTGAATGCTTCTGATGGTATATATTTATTGAAGTAAAGGAAAATAGTATTTACCTTAATGGTGACTGTGATATGCTCCTTTAAACACCTCTGGAATAACAGCTTTCATTAAACTTCCAAATGAAGATTTTTTCCAAACTTGGTCTGCGTTCCAAACTCTTGAAAGACAAGTGGAGTATATGGGTGCTGTGTAGGGATATAGGGGTTTCCCACCAGTACTTCCCTGTCGTCTTTTGCATACTTACATTCTTTAGAGTTTTTCCTAACTTTTCCTTACGCTATTTGTTGACTTTCTTGAGTTGCTTCTTTCCTTACAATTAGATGGAATTTACTCTCTAATAGTAAATGGTACAGCAGTTATGGTAGAGTACTATGAAGCATTGAAATCTAATTTTTTCTACATTTGCATTTAATTTTATTAATTTAGTTGATTCACATTTTATAAATACAAAATACTAATTTAGACACAGCCTGCTTTCACTTAAAGTTCACAAAGCAGTTTTATTTCGTTATATACACCTGTAACATCACTCTGTGGTCATTAAGATGTTTTGTCAGTCATTTGTTTTTTTCAGAGCATATCATTGTCCTTTATAGCCAAAGTTAGCTGTGATCCAGCATTTTTTTAATCTATCTGCAGTATGTTGTCACTGGAAATTTTATCCAAAGCTATAAGCATTTGCATAAAACCATTGATACAATCTTTTTCACTTGTACTGAAATGAAATACCCACTTCTTTTAATCACATATATCGGTTTAAGAAATCATCATAATACCCTATTTTTGAAAAAAACATGTACTATAAAGTACTCCTGAATAGAATATGAAGTGAAATGAATAAAAAAATTAGAGGTATGATATTTTACTTTTATTTATTTACCCATCATTTAAAAATAAGCACAGGAAGAGCCAGGAATTTAAATCAGTGGTTCCACCACCAGCCTTGCAAGCTCAAGGTCCCCAGTTCAATCCCTGGTACCAAAATAAATAAATAAATAAATAAATAAGAATGAGAGGCAATACATCAGTGTTAATAATTATCTCTTTTGGTATAATTGCAGGTGATTTTTATTTTTTGAACTTTTCAAATTCTTCACATGAATATATTTCATTTTTATACTATGAAAAAATATTTTTAAGAATTTATCAACTTTAGGAATGCTTCACATTTATTATTGTGACTTCATCATATTAACAGATTATAGTAACATAACCACTGGACTTGGTGATCAGTTTGATGTCAGAAGAATTTCTAGAATGATTGGGTTACATGGAAGCCAAGAAACATGTAGAATGGAGAAAAGAAGGACTTAATTTTCAAATAAGATAAGCTTATGTGCCGGCATATAGGTAGAAATAGTTGTCTGGTGGTAGATAATTTGAAATCTGGGGCCCAGGAAATATTTTTTAAATAGTCATTTGACTCCTCAAGAAATTTACAACCTAACTGGGAGATTTTTTTTAGCATGTAGAAAAATTAAGATGAATAGTGTAATTTCAGATGTTAAAATGTGTCATTCTGTAAGTATGCAGAAAAGGGAATCATGCTCACACACACCATTTTAGGAATCAAATGCAGACATTTTTATTTTGTTTTTTGAGATAAGAGTCTCACTTTGTAGTACAGGCCAGCCTTGAACTATGTACCCTAGGCTGGCCTTGTAACTCTTGCAGTCCTCTTGCCTCAGCCTCCTGAGTGCTGGAATTATAGCTGTGCGTCACCACATCTGGCTCTCAAGTGCAGAATATTGAGAGTTGATAGGTGAATGAACATTTAGATGTTAAGGAAATAAATGGATTAAAATATTTTAATTTGTCAAATTGAAGTTTTTTAAAACTTTCAGAGAAAATGATTAGCAGGTTTAAACAACTATCCTTATCCAAAGGAGTAGCTTAATAAATACTTGTTAAATGAATAAATTATTCACTGTTAACACTTACCACTTACTAAGTATTTACTGTGTATCAGGCATTCTGTTCTAAGCACTTTATATGAATTGCTATCATTTAGTCATCACAAAAATGTTGTATTAGGTACTGTTTTTAGCTCTCTTCTATACCTGAGGAAATGGAGGCATATAAAGGGTCTTGTCTAAGGGAGTAAGTGGTGAAACTAATACTCATACCTGGGCATTTTAGCTCTGTAGTCTGTTTTTGTAGCCATTGTTTTTGCTGTTTGTCTAGAAATTCCAAACTAACATTAATAATTGGAGGTATTTTTCTGTTCCACTAAGCTAGTGATCCTTTAAAGTATTTTTGTCATAAAATCGTATACCCTTTCCACAAAGTTGTGTAAGGATTACTTGTAACTTCTCAGTTTCCTACTAATTCAGTGTGTTTTTTAAATCAAGTGATGACGAGTATTTCTCAACATACCTATTCAATCTCATGTGAATTTTATCTCAGCTATTAAATAGGTAATTAAAAATCTTTAATATGTAATGACACCTTCCTCATGGTCCCTGCAAATGTTACTATCCATTTCATATTATCCTTCGTGCTAAAGAACCAAAATGGATAGGACTTTCATAATCAGTGTGTTACAGTGCCACCATAGAGAAGTTAAAGGAGAAGCAATGCACTATAGGTGGTAGAGTTGGAAATGTTACCTCTTCAGAAGTGCAAGAAAGCCAAGGCGGGGCTGGGGATTTAGCTCAGTGGTTCTGCCACCTGCCTCACAAGTGCAAGGTCCTGAGTTTGATCCCTGGTACCAAAAAAAGGAAGAAAGGAAGGAAGGAAGGCAGGCAGGCAGGCAGGCCAAGGCAAAGCTACTTCCTAGAATTTATTTTGTGGCTTCAAAAGGTGTAAGAAAGGATTATGCTTTCATCAGTGTAGCTCTGACTTAATCATTCTGCTTCTCAGAATGACATAATCATTGCACCAAAATGCTGAGAAAATAAATTTATGAAGTATTGCATCAAAATGTTGGGGAAATAACTTTATGAAACTTATTAAACTTTTTATAAAAAATGGTAAAATCTTTTATTCCCTTTGTAAATAAGGACAACTCAATTGTGTATTTTCAACCAATTGCCTTATGTTGTTGTATATTCTCAGACATCTGTCTTCAGTTTTCATGTTCTGATGTGGAATTTAATGCAGATGTAGAAATTCATTTTGGGTCTAGAGGAAAGATTTACTGCCAAGCTATTGAGAAAGACCTATGGACATTACTTTGTAACATCCAAACTTCTTGGGTAAATCTAAAGATTCTAAAACTGCCAATACTGTTACATTGAGTTTATCAAGTGTAAAGCTGACTAGACAAGGTTAAAGGTGGAAACCTTGCCAGGTGTGATGTTGCATACCTGTAGTCCCAGCTACTCAGGAGGCTGAGCAGAAGGATCATTTGAACTCTTGATTTTTAAATTTGGATTTAACATTTTAAAACAAAATGTCTGCCTTTTCCAGTATGCAGTATTAAGATTTTAAAATTTTGTTTACTATGCATGTGAACAGATATTCACATGTAAATACCTAACATTACTAAAATGGTTCAACTGTATTTACTATTTATAATACTGACTCAGTTGGTTTCTCAATTGATAAATTTGCCTGAATTGGTGTCAACATTTTACCATATCTGAAATAAAACTTTCTGTGAATTTTGGAAGCTATTTTCAGCCTACCTGATATTGCTTTAAAAAACATTAGCCTTCTTTATTTGCACTTTTACCATATATATTGTTCCGATACTGTGATTTATCTTTCAAGAGTCATTTTAAGATGCCATTTCTTCTCTTACAGGAAGATGGAAAATATTTAACATTTATGATTTCTTTTTTTGCAGGTATGTTGAGTCGATGGGATGACAGTCAGAGATTTTTGTCTGATCATCCATTCCTTGTATGTGAAGAAACTGCTAAATATCTTATTTTATGGTGTTTTCACCTAGAAGCTGAACAGGTATTATGTGACTCTTGCATTTCCTTAGTGGAATTCTGATTTCTTAATTTAATGGTTTTTTAAAAAATAATTATTTTCTTTAAATGAAAGCAGGAAGGTCAATAGAAGGAAATTTGAATTTTTGTTTTCAGACCTTAATGAGTTTAATGTGGGATTATTTTTTTAGTTGTTTCATTTACTACAGTGGAAACTATGTGCTTTCTCAGCCATCTCCCAGTTACTCTTTCTCCCATATACTATAATCCTTTTTCTTTTTTAAATAATTAGAAAGTCATGTATTAAAAATCAAATAGAAATTACAATATTAAAGATGTTATGGCATAGATAATTGCTGTTACAACACAGTTGCATAGTTCCTCTTTAGTTTTTCTGGTCCTCATAAAAAATAATGAAAGACTAAAATACACTCTTTATATGTCCACATATTATTTGACTTAAAGGCTGGGCATGGTGGCGCATGCCTGTAATCTGAGCACTTGGGAGGCTGAGGCAGGAGGATTGCTGTGCGTTCTAGACCAACCTGGGCTACATAGTGAGTTCCAGAACAGTCTCAACTACATAGTGAGACCCTGTCTCAAAAAAAAAAAAAAACAAAAAAAAACCCAAACAGTATTTGACTTAAAACTAAATAAAATGAAATCAAAATTTGAATTGGTATGTCAAATATATTTCTAAAGGTATTTTTTATAACTTTATTTTTACTTTCAGAAAGGGGCACTAATGGAACAAATAGCACATCAAGCTGTTGTAATGCAGTTTATTATGGAAATGGCCAAAAACTGTAATGTGGATCCAAGAGGGTGTTTTCGTTTATTTTTCCAGAAAGCCAAAGTAAGTAGTTACTTGATATTACTAAAAGGAAAAGTTAGGCCATAGTTGAGACTTCTTTGTTTTGTATGCTTCAAGAGAAGTCATCTAATGGGACAGGCTAAATTCTGTAAAATTTCTAGTGAGAGGGAAATTTAGTTTTGCTAAACTTCATGCTGAGACATGAAGTTATATAAGAGGTATGTGTATGAAATTGAGATCCACTCGAATGTGGAACTTGGAATGTGCCATGTTTATTTGTTCAGTAATCACTAAGTGCCTTCTAATGCAAAGCAAGCTGTTTCAAAGGCTGAGGATACAGTGTTCAACAAAATAGATGCAGGATACTCTATGTATAGGATTCATACATGTTTAATAGGCAATCAGATTTCTATACTGAAAAAATGGGAAACAAAAATTCATCACTTGGAGAAATACTTTATAAAGTTATGGGTTTTGGTGTTTTGTTATATACAGACACATAGTTACGGAACATTTTTTAATTTAAATTCTTATGCTATAAGTTAAAAAAAGTAATATGTGTTTATATAAATAAGATAATGTTGGCCATGTTAAAGAAAAATAGATATTCCTAGGAAGATTATTACCATTTCACATTTACTGTATTAGTTACAATTTAACAGGAAATAGAGCAATGAGAACTTGGATTGCTAGTATTAATATAAACTAGAAAAACCACTCAAAACTTTCTAGTAAATTTGAACAAGTGCATTTGAACCTAACATGCAGAATTTCTTTTAGGTATATATACACGCGCCCTAGACAGTAGGTTGTCAACATGTGATTCGAGAAGCTCTGAGATATTGCTTGCTGTTTTTATTCCCATTCTCTCCTGAGTGAATAACAGAGACTGATGCTGAAAGCAGATGTGAGAATCCATCTCTCTTCTGTTCAATCAGAAGTTAGAGAGATGTACAGAAATGAAGAACACATGCCACTGTTCTCACTAAACTTTTTTATTTTGGAAAACGCAGTTTTAAAACTTTTTTTTTTTAAGACATAGTCTCCCTGTATTGCCTAGACTGGTCTCAAATTCTTGGGCTCAAGTGATCTCCTTTTTCATTCTCCAGAGTAGCTTGGACTACAGGTACTGGCATACAGCACTATGCCTGGCCTTGGAAAATACACTTTTTAAAAAGAAAAATACGTTGTTAATGGCAGCATGTAATGATGTTATTTTTTAGTTATTTTTAAAGTTACTTGATTTTAATTTCTAACACACTATATATTGTCAGATACAACCTATGTAAATGTAGGTTCTTAATAATTTTCAAGAGTATGAAAGAGTCCTGAGGCTGAAGTTTGAGTTCTGCTGCCTGAGAGCAACTCATTCACCTGCGCACTAGATAACTGTAGTGTTTCTAGTAGATTGATTCTTAATAGCAAATGGCCTGGAAGCAATCCAAATGTCTGTCAGCAGTAGAATGAATAAATTACGGTATATTTGGTAATGTACTAACCAGCATTGATGTGGATAGAAAAAAGGGAGTGAATATTTTACATGTTCTTTTGCACGTAGGATACATTTTAGCATATATTAAAATGTACCAGAAGCTTAATTTTGGTTATATTTGAGCGGTAGAAACTACAAAGGAAGTAGTAGAGGTACCTAAATAGGAAGTTTTCCTGAAATAGTAGAGTTTTAATGAGTAAAAGAATTGGTATTTTATCTAGGTTTATGGTGACTCATAAATTTTTACTTGACACATAGGAGCAATGAAAACTGTACTTTTTTCATCTTACATTAATGGGTGTGTTTAAACTCGTGCTTAATATTATTATGCAGCATAGTTTTACTGTACATTCTTTGAAATTTACTTGGGCAAAAATAGAACCAAAAAGCACTTAGTAACACTGTGTTTTTAATTTTTTTAAGAAAAAGATGACTAGTAGTATTCATGGCATGCTTACTTTATGCTAGTCCCTGTTCTCAGTACTTTACATGGATTAACTCATTTCATCCTGTGACATATGAGAATATCTATTCCTATTTTGTAGGTGGGGAAATTGGCAGAAAGAAATTAAGCAAGAGGTCCATAGATTACTTAATAAAACAAAGTTAGGTCACTCAAAATCTAAATTCCTAGGCCATATCTTTACAATAAAGTCAGTAGTTGTGTAGCTTTTCAGAAAGATTACCTTTGGGACATAAGGACTAATATTCTTTATGTTCATTATACGTTGAGTAAAGGTAATCTTACAAAAATGTAATTAAGGATATTATTCCTAAATTCAAAGGTAGGATGATAGCACAAAACATTGTTTCCACTATTTATATAGATTCTGATGCTAATAAATAACCTACAGATTTTAACCTGATTGCACAACCTAAATTCCATTTGACAAGATCTGTTCCACATTTGAACTTAAAGCCAACATTCTGAAAATACAGGATATTCTCCATGTCATTTCTTTTTATGAGAAAGAAACATTTAAGCAGCGACTGCTACCACTAGTGAGTTTTATATCAAGAATCTCACTTAATACTGTATTACAATCATTGGGTGCCTAAGAGTTTTCCTCTTTAAGTGTAAGTCCCTGTAATTTCTTTCTTTGCATAATGTCAAAAAGGGGGTACTTAAGTAGAACACTAAGATACTGAATGAAGTTGAATGTTGAATTTCACTTGGTTTTTATAGCACTTATAAATAGAAAGTATAGGGTCAGAATTACTAGGAATAAGTAATAGTGCTCTCATTAACGTTAAAACCTTTTAGAAGAATGTTGCTTGATTGTTTGGCAATCATAACAGGATATAAAGAATGTAAGAGGTTACATGATTTTTTTTTTTTTTTTTTTTTTTTTTTTTTTGGGGGGGTGGGGGGGTTTGA